CTGATTTGTGAGTGAACTACATATTTAATTTAATAACCTGGAGTAGGTAAGGCTTTCAGGCAATCAATGTGCTATAAGCATACAAAATTGTCACTTATATAAGTTAGAAAATCATTTTAGAAAAAAATAATGCTTTTTGTGGTGAAGCTAGTAGCAACTATGTAAATAAGAAACACATCGAAATGTGCAAATCTGCAAAGAAAATTAATTGGTTAACAGGAAGTTATTAAGGGCATCACATAACAAATCTCCTTTACATAAGGATATAAGATAATGAGTTTTAGTTTGATAACAGAAAGTAATAAAATGTTATAATACATGATATAGTAGGTGAAAAAATTACAGTATGTGTCAATATGGGGTTCTTCAAAACCAGTTTCCATACAATTTCATCAAAGCCAAAATGTCCAATGTAAAAGAAAAAAATCTGTGATCATCTCATAAACTATCTACTATATAAGAAAAATTTGAAATAAAATGAGTAAATGAAACCTATGATGAATTGTTTTCCTTAATTTTTAGTAAATGCTTCCTCATAATTTTTCCCTCCTAGACAAGAATTTATATACTCTATTTTAGAATACAAATTACTTACAATCTTAATATTGCTTTTTTAGGGTATTATAAGAAACATTCATTAAGCAATACATAAACATCATGCTAACATAATCTCTGTAGTCCAGTAACATATTGTGTCTACAGGAATAAAATGGGGAATGTACCAGAAACACTGCCATTTTAGTTCTCATTTTTCAGTATCTTGGGTGTAAGAAAGTATAGGATAAATATTTTTGTTTTGAGAAAAGAAACAGAATAGGAAAGAATAAAAACTGTACAACAAAAAGAAGGGAGGTAAAATAACCAAGTAGGAAGAGATGAGAATGGTAAAGGAAAGAAGGAAATAGAATAGGGAGGAAAACTTAAAAAGACAAATTTAGCAAATTAGAAGAGAGAGAGAAAGCATATCTGATGTTAAACAATGCCATGATATTGATTCCACTCAATGTGCCGTTCATTTTTGCTGAAATCCAGGGAAGGGGGTGTAAGGTAAGAGGGAGAGATGAACTTTAATGAGTCACCGCACTCTGCATCACTGCAGTCATGTTGGCTTCCCCTTTGAACAATACGCTCCTGTAGTTCTGGGGTTGAAAGAACGAAAAGATGAGGGTGGAGTCAGAAATAAAAGGCTAGAGCCAGAATAAGAAAAAGTAAATGAGAGAGACACAGAAATGAAGTTAGAATTAAATTTATAAGTAATTCAACAGCCATTCAGTCTCTTCTCTTCCATCTACTCTCTCTGGCATCACTTTCAAGTTTTGCTCAATAATGTTTACTATTTTTAGGGTAACAAAAACCATTAGCTTAATCTGTCACTAATAATGTTCCACATCCTACTTTTGCTAGTCTACCTTCTTCCTGACTACCCCAACTGGGTTATCTTCTATTCCAGCAGCCTTTATAGCCATATCTATTGAATCCTTTCTTGCCATAAAAGGCATCAGGATTCAGAAGACATTTAAAAATAGCAATGAACATGTTTTAATATCAACACAAATAAAATTCCAAATGCTGGATTCAACCATCATATATTCCACTCTTCAAATGATATTCCTAAGAAGAAAGTATTTTTTTTAGTATGGATTTAAAACTTGAGAACACTTACACACCAAAAACAGTATTATTATGAAATTTAACAATTTATTAGAAATATGCCAAAATGTATTTTAGTAACTATAAATAGTCTCATCAGCTAAAAAATGTATGAAAAGTGCATCATAAGGGCAGAGTTGCTGGTTCAAACTATGCCGAGGTATCTCCCAGGGAGAGGAATATGGTGGTGGATGAAGTAGAAAAAAATCTTGGGAGATTCCAGCAGCTTTTGAGGAGTTGGATCTTCAGTGGCAGGGAAGACATGCAATAAGACTCAGTCTGCTTTGCTTGGATATTCATGATTTTTTTCTTCTTTCTACCTGGCAGCCATAGCTTCTCAGCCACAGAAGTATGTTGATTTGAAAACTTAAAGCCACTTATAATAAAGAATATAGTAACAAAAAGGACATGTAACTTTCAGTTTCATTTCAGATCAGAATTTTAAGAAGAGCAAACTAAAAATACATCTAATTGTACATTTTGAAGATAGATCACACTAGCAATTCAAAAAGACTATTTGAATTCATCTATGATACACTACACTATATCAGACTCTCACAAGAAAGTTTCCAAATTGTTTTTCTGTGTATCTCAAAAATTATCAGATTTTATCTTGTAGATAATTACCTGTAATAGGAAAATTCTGAATTACAGAAAAATACTAAATGGACTAGTATCATCAAAAACCAGTAAGATTTACCATTGTTCTTTTCATTGTTGAGTCTAAATTGGTATAGAATAGAATACGACCTCACTATTCTGGTCAATTAATTAACAGAATAGAGAATATTAATTATATTTTTCAAATGTATTAGACAATGTTATAATTAACCCCTAATGTCCACTGTAATGAATGTAGAGATGGAAGGAATAATTGCACACTATAAGTAATTTATACTTGGTTCAATTAATTTATCTACCTACCAGTCCTGTAACAGTAACAAAAACAGAGAATTTCCATTTTACTACCTCTGTATTTTGTCTAGTACAAAGTTAAAAGCAATGTACAGACCACAACACTGGAAACAGTAAGAGATACAGAGCACAGAGTCTTGTATTAAACACAATGTATCATTCTTGCACATATATGCCTCTCACTTCAACACAAAGAAAAAAAATCTGGCAACCCATCACATCATTAAACAAGGCTATTCTCATAAAGGTAAACATATTTTCTTGTTCCATTATAATCCAAAACCAACTTGTTGACTCTAGTAGCGGTCTGTCAAGAAACAGGACCCCAAATGGTTCAAATGTTGCAGCAGGTAAAATGGAAGAATACAGGTAAAAAAGCTAAATGTTACTAAGTTCCTAATATGTGCTGGCATTTGAGATAAGTGTTTTACATATTTTATTCATCTGAAGGCAAGAAAGCCCGTGAAGAAATGGCAGTAGAGTTAAATTTGAACTCTACTTCTAATTTCAGTTCAGCTGATTCAGTATCCTAGTTATGTAAATTTTTACTTTTCCTTTAGGCCTACCAATCTATCAATGGACCTTGAGAGCTTGTTTGGAGGTTCCAGCAGGGGAGCGTAGCTAGTTGTATACCCTTGACCAAGGAAATGTGCCTTCTCTGTAGGATTAAGTAAATAAAATAATTTATATAATGCTCAGCACACTGTAAGAACATAGTGTCAACTGTGGTTATTATTATAAAAAAAGAAACTGATTCTCATAGTTAACTTGACTCATTTAATGCCATGAAATATAGTAATTTCAGAGTAAAACTGGAACCCAGTCTCCCCAATCATCATTTTGTGTAGTTTTCACTATTTTAGATTTCTGTGATGAAAAAATGTATTTTAATATTCTTGCAGCATTTAAATTCCATCAACCCATATAGATTACTTTAATTCATTTGTAGACTTAAAAAGTTTCATATTCATTTGATAAACAGAATATTCTTCCAAAAAGAACATCATTTAAGCAATTTTATTTTTCATTACAGACATTTCTATCCTCTTAGAATTGATGAAGTAGAAATTTATGCAGAAACTATTCAACAGAAGTCGTATTTGTTAAGGTCTCACTGCAGAAATGGAGCCAGTATGAATATTAGAAGATGAAAAAGCTGCGCATCTACCAAAGTAGCTGCTTTATCCCACTTGCCCAAATCCTCATCCTATGGGCCAAGAAACTTCCTTCTGGGTAACTGCTTTGTATACTTTCCAGTACTAAGCACAGAAAATTACCAAAACTATTGCAGGGTGAAAAGGCTATACACAAATACTGTATTATTCAGTGCCATATACCAATGCATTCAATTTTTTAAAATTTCAGCAACTTTTACTTCAGTTAGACAACAAATTTACTGAAGATACACCATGGCTTTAATTATCAGTGCCTAGGAGCCTTCCTAAAATATCATTGGGAAAAGGTCTTTTTCACAAAGTGTCTTCTATCACTAGGACACAGAGAAGCAAGTTTAGTTCAAAGGTGTGACAGGACATATTCATGTTGAACAGTTTGTACACCATAAGTATTTATTTTAAAAAATCCCACTTTTTAAAAATGAACTTATATCTAACTTCATTTTAAAGGACAATATACTTTATTTTGGGAGAGAGAAGGAAACAAAGTGAATCAACTCAGACAAAAACAGTCAAAAATGAAGATCACATAATGTTCATTTTCAGCATCTAAGATTAATAAAAATAGCATTTGAAAATCTATCATAGTCACAGAATGCCATTATCATTCATGGCTTATTAATGGATTTGTGAGGTTCATAGAGGAAGAATAATTTATGAAGTTATTTAGTTAAGTGCAATAGCTTTAAAACTAAAACTGTAGTTTCCTTTTGGAAAATGAAGACACAATTAGGATACTGAAGATTAAAATTTTTACAAAAATCCACACTTAAAATACATAGCAAAAATCTAACATACTTTATTGAACAAATCCAACTTAAAGTAGATAAATAAATGCAGTTACAAAACATAGCTATAATCCAGTAATTTATGACAAATAAAATTTCTAAACATTATACCAGAAAAAGCTGAATTTATATATCTATATCTATATCTATATCATCTATATCTATATCATCACTTTAATTTCCATTTCAAAATTGTTATGCCAGTTCATGGAATGTATGCCGTTACCATGATATTTATCCATACGGAAACATATATGTAATTTCAATCGCCATCAATGTTTCCACATTTTCTCTTAAAGCCATGCCTTAACATTCTATCAAGCTAAGAATAATAGTTATTCAATTACTATGAATAAGGCATCTTAATTAGTTTGAATACAGATAGGCATCCAATTTCATTGCAATTCTTTCAAAGCTTTAGCAAATCTTTAAATTAGTTCCTCCCACTGACTCTTAAGGTAATTATACATACCACAGTCTGATGATTAACTTGAATCACTTCATCGCCAGCATGAATTTTCTTGCACCGATCTGCAGGTGACTGAATTTAACATGAAAAAAATAATAAAAAAAACCCCTTAAGTTTATCAGTTATTTCGTCTCTCTGGAAACATTACAAAGGTTCACCTCCTTAGATTTTAAAAATTAATTGTAGGGCTAGGGATATGCATCAGTGATTGACTGTTTGCTGAGCATGTGAGAAGCCCTGGGGTTGATAACCTGCACCATACACACAAAAAATTATGGAAATAATCATTATGGAATTAAACTAACAAAAATGGTTACTGGTACTTAATATACTGTTTGCATTATATGTATAGCTAATGATATAAAACAGAAATGCAAAATAATATTTAGATTGTAACAGAATAACGTGTTTTCAAGAACATGAAGGAAAAAATAACTGGTATTAACCTTTGAAAATGTTACTCAGAAAATACTGCTAGGCTCTACTGGGCAACTGCTTTAAAAATATATTTAGTTTTTTTTTTTTACTTTGACCATTGTATTTAATATGAATCATATTTACTTCAGCAAATCAGTACTTTCAAGTACACATGTATGATCAGCATCAAAACCTTGCAATCTGATAATTAAATTGCTAATTTATTTCACCATTAAAACATCAATTCAAAATAACCTAGAAAAGCAAATTTAAAGATGGATAGCAATTAGCTCAAAGTTTCATTACATAATATTCTCTCAGAGTGCCCAGTTATAAGGGTATGCAGTTTCTTATGTTCTATACAACGTAATGCACTGGTCAACAAAAGTACATATAGAGTATATTAACTACAATGCCAACACTTCTAAAGGATGTAATAATTTCATCACTTCTTTACTTTCATAAGAGATTAACAATAGAAATAAAGACAAGTTGATGATTTAAGAAAACTTTGGAAACTTAAGATTTAAGATAAAAATTTAATAATACTTTAGGTCTGGGCAGGTCTTTAATCTTAAATTTAAAATGATACTTTTTCTCCAGTGTTTACTGATTATAAATTGTATGAATTTTTAGGCATCTTAAGATCACAATAGCATCTTCTATTTTGAATTCATAGAAAACGTGCTTTTAGGAAGAACATGTTTATCAAAACCAACAATATATGGGTTTTACTCATTAGAATCTTTCGAAACCTGGGGGAGAATGATATGGAGATAATTTTGATACCCCAGAATAGGATACTTTAAAAGTGATATCCAGTTACTTTATTTTGACTGACTTCTAATTTCCAACAAGTCTGAAAACATAGAAATCTTGAAACAATATTGATTTCAACTTTTTAAGAACTCAAAATAAAATTACCTGCTATAGGCTAAATTTCAAGATAAAATATTCCAGAGTTCCATTTATTGAAGTAGTAACACAAGCATACTTAGGGGGCAGATTCAACTAAGATGTGAACCCAACTCTACGAAAATAATGTATCCCATAGCACCTTTAGTTAATGGGCATATTATCAAATTAGATCAGTTCTATAAACAACTCTGAGAAGATTGCAAATCATTACCTTAATAGTTATAACTACAGTAATTCACTGTACTATTTGATTCATAGCTGATCTTTTTAAAGGAGATTATGGAAGAAAAATATCAAGCAAATGGCTTTAGTCATAATGTAAAGGAAAATGATGTTCAATATATAAAACTCAAAGAAAATGAAACAACCTTTTTCACAGATAAATAAAAAGTGGAAAACTCATAAATTATAGATTATAGACTTTCAGTATTAAAAGGACCCTGGAGATCAGTTTGGCCAAACTCCTCAATTTTTACACAAGAAAACAAAGAAACTAGGGCATAGCAAAGCAAAATTTAACTTACCCACTTTAGCGAGGAACTTTAATTAAAGAATTAACACACAGTTCTTAATTGTAAACGATTGAGGGTACCAAAAATAGTAAAATAATTTAAAGAATCAAAGGATGAACTATTAATATATGATTCATATCTGAACTACTCCCAGAATCAATTTTTCCTTTGATCACTTATCCATTTATCAAATATTACTGAGTAATTAATATGAGCAAGGCATAGTGCTCAACTTTTTTTTCCTTTTAACAGATCCCAGACAATATAGAGAGATCCATTCCTACCAGTTCTTCATGATACAGTTCAAAATCATCATTTCTGTGATTTCTTCTCTGATTTCATTTGGCAGCATTTACTACTTTTTCCTTTTTTCATCCGAGCAAACTGTGCTACCTGTTTATACAGATGAACCCCTACTTGCTATCCGTACCTCAGGGACAGCAAGTTAGTTTATTTCAAAAATCCTTCGAATACCTAGTATCATGCCTGGAACACAGCAGACATGAAGCAGAGGTTTGTTAAACAAACATGAATAAATGAGTGATCAGATGAATACACAAATCAATGAGAATGATCAGTGGCAAGAATATAGTTTGTGGCATCTTACTAAATTTAAAATTGTCAAATAGTTCACAATATGCATTTAACTGATATTTTTGACCTCATATTTAATAATAAATCTAAAACTGCTATAGCATTTCATCTACCATGTATGTGTTTCACCCGCTACAAGAAATGAGGTGAAGCAGAGGGAGAAAACCAGTACAAGGTTAAAGTAAATATATGAGTTAGATAAACAAAATATTGATTTTTAAGAAGAAAATGCTGGTGAAATGTTGAGATCAATAATAACTTGAGATTAAACTAATTCCACCTCAGTCTTCTTTAAAGGAACGCAGCATAAACATGCCATTTGTCAGAATCTCTAAAAGAAAAAAATAATAAATTCAAAGCTCAGAACCTGCTTATATGAAAGTAGAATGGAAATACGGAATAACTAAATGCAGAAATGATTTGTTATGTTATTCCATTCAATTATACCAATCATGTTAATGCTCAACATGATTACTTCATATTTCTCTCTCAACAGCATAGCTATGGTCCTCTATAGCGCAGTCTTTCACATTTATTAGCTTATTTAATTTTCACAACAACTTAGTGAAGTATATAGAGCAGATAATTTATTTTCAATTTATAATTGAGGAACGAAAGCAATGAGAGAGGTTAACTGACTTTCACATATTACAATGCCAGTAAGATGCAGAACTGGTTGTAGGATCTAGGCCTGGGAAGTTCTGACCCACTGTTCATAGTGGTTCTCAAACATTATCATGCTTCAGAACCACCTGTTAAAATGCAATCTCTTATTAACAAAGATTGGTCCCCAGAATTTCTGATCAGTAGGTCTGCGGTGGGGCCTAAGAATTTGTATTTTTAGCAACCTCTCAAGGGTGGCTGATGATGCTGGTTCCGTGACTTCACTGTGAAAATAACTCAGTTATTCCATGTCATCTTTCCACTGAATTAAAGTACTTAGCCTGACTTATCTGACTTTTTTCTCACATTAGTTAAGCTTCTTAAAATAACTAAACTATTTGACAGATGAAAGCATACTCTTTTAATGTCATAATAACTTGTCAAGAACCAGAAAACAACAAAGATAACTTTCTGGCTGAAAACAGAAAACATCTGATTTACTTTTAGTAGCTATTCCACACGAAATCAAGAAACTGAAAGTCTCAAGAAGCCAGTACGTACTAACTCAGCACATGTTTTCATCATAACTCCCATCTGTTCTTCTCCTTAGAATTAAACTCAATCACGTGAGATTATATACACACCAAGATTTGAAATGTTGAAATACTTACATTTTCTGTGGTTCCAGTAATTACATGGAGGCCATCATAGGTCGATTTAATATACATACCCTAAGAAAAAGACATCATTAGAAAAACTTAAAGAAAAATATTTTAAAATATATTATAACCTCATTTTAAAAATATATAATTTAACAATGTTCTCACTATATGAATGTTCTGGTTTCCAAAGTTCATTCAACTCAGTCAAGTGACTACTTGGTAAGTGAATTGCCTATGAGATTTCTGAAAGTCAGCATTTGTAATTCAATACTATGAAGAAAGAATTCATCTCACTTCCATCAAAATCTATACTATATTCTGTGGGAAAAGAAAATTTACCACAGAAAATTTAAATATTGGTATATTATTAGCCTACTATACTTGATATAATTACATAACAAAAAGTAACTTTCTATAGAGAAACTGGAGCCAGAGGAGCAATAAAATCTTACTTATATGAAATTTCTTTTCCTGCTATTTTGCACTACACTATATTTCTTCATTTACTTCTTATTGACAATGTTTTAATAATTACATCAAGTCATCTTTACATCAACAAGTGATATGTGTATGTGGCAATATACTCTCCTAAGAGCAAGAGTCCATTTCCCATTTAAATGAAGGCATTCTACAAAAAACTTTATAAAAGTTTAAAAATTATCTAGATATCCTGAAATTTGGTAAGCTTTCAGACTAAATTAAAAACTTCATATTATGGATAGTGATGAGATGAATAATATTATTCATATTATGGATAGTGATGAGACTGTAAAGGGAAAAAATCACATTGAAAGATTTATATTTCAAATGTTAAATAATTTAAGTAAATCAGAAAAACAGATGATAAAATAAATGACTTTTTCCCTTTTAAGAAAACTCTATTACTTTAAATTCCACTTTGAGGGAAAATTATCTAAATTTTAACTACAATATTACTTTGCATTTCAAAATACTGATTTCATATATAAAAAGCACTCATTTACAGTAGCCTCAAATCTGAAATACAAGGGCTTTAACAACAACCAATAATACCTTCACAGAAAAATCATACTTTTAACATTTATGTAAAGGACACAACTTTTATGTTAATTATATATTTAGATACCTGCACATGCCATGTGTTTTCATTGAATGGAAGATATTTTTAAAAAAGTAATAAAGTCCATGGTATGGAACTACTGAAAAATAATTGAGTAGGTATTAATTCTAAAAAGTCATTTAGTAATGTCATATATCTAAAATCTTATTCGTTCCTTTATGCTTGTGACAGTATACAAGATACCTTTGAATTTTGAATTTAATATTTATTCCTCTATCTATTAGAAGGTATATATAGTAATACTATTATAAAATATACAGTGGACATTATTATAAAGCTAAGAAGGGGACAAGATCCTGGCTAGCATCTTTCTCCCAGCAATTAACAAAACTAAAGTAAATTACTAAACTACCTTAAAATACACTTAAAAAATGTAGACACTATATTTTGTTACTTTTTACATAGATGGATTATGAGAGAAAAAAGAAAAGGCAGCGAAAGAAACAATATAAATTGTTTGGATATACAAAATAATCAGTATCCATCATTGTCAATATCTACTCCCCACACGTGCCAGCGATTATTGCGTAAAACAGTCTTTCACTTATTTTACAATAGCTATGTGGTGAAATATCATTACCTCTGTTTTAGAGATGAAGCAACTAAAGCACAGGAAAGCTAGAGAGTCTGTTCAAGATGATGAGGCCAACTTTTAAGTCTGACAGTCTCATTCCTGAGTCCAGACTGTCAACCCTTAGGCTTTTGATTTGTGGATTTATTAAAAGCTAAGAGAGTTAATTCCCTTTTTTCATTAGAACACAATACTTGACAATTATAGATATTAAAGTCAAACACTCACTGTTTAACATCTATTCTTTTATTTTTTCAGCACCAGGGATCAAAATTGGAGCCTCATATACATGCTAGCCTGGTGGTGCTCTCCCACTGTGTTACACCCTTAGTCATTACCATTTACTCTAAAAGACTAAGAGAACTTTATCAAATATGGATGAGGTTGTGAAAGGCAGTTAAAAAGAATAATTGAGATGAATGTCAATATTTTACAAATTTGTTTCAATCACCCATATCTTCTGAAAACTGTAAGTAGAAGTTGATTATATGTTTCTCCACATACCTTTCAACAATGCGAGGCTAGATTATAAATTAAAGGTATATGACAGGAATTTTAAATGATTCCAGAAATTATTAGGTAGGAGAGACAGTCTAGTATTCTAAGAAAAATTCTTAGAAAAGATACTACAGTTGCTGGGATAATGAAAACTCATGGAATAATATATTTATGATCCAGGAAATAATATTTGAGTATAAATACTGCACATGCCAGGAATTTTGGAACGTGATAATCCCAATATAAAGCAAGTATCCACTAGTTAAAGGATCATAACATTGACAAGATCGTAAGAATGTTACATAATCTGTATGAAAGGTCGTTTCTTCAAGTCGATAAAAAATAGTTAAAATGATGAAAGATGGATCTAGCTATGCACATGGAGTTCAAGTCTAAAAACCTTTCATAGGCATGAACAACAGGGTAGGAACAAAGCACATCCTAAAATGCCACAAGAATGTACATATTGTTTCATGTTATATTTTTAACCTCAGTAAGCCATTTTTTGCAACTGCTTTTAATAATCCTGACTGATTTCTTCATCATTTTTATCTCCTTCTGGCAGTACTGATGACGAAGATGCCCAAAAAGTCAGGCACCAAAATAAAGAGAAGAAACAAGTTCCTTGGATGAGTCTCAAACTAATCATGAATGAGGAAGATTCCACAGAAAGACACCTGACTCTTCTGAGAAAGTACCAAGCAGCAGGAGGATAGTAACTCAAATGTCTTTTTCCCCCCCGAGAACTGAAGTAAATAATTCCCTTCCATTTCATCATAAATTTCACTCATTTTTTCTTTCTTCTTCTTTTTTAAAAACCAATTAATTAATTCTAGAAATGACTTTAACAGCTCCCTCTCCCCTGCTCAGCTTGCCAACATGACATTTGCTTCATTCTGTCTCCAAATGTCAGTTAACTAGTAGGAGCCAATGCAACCTCACAGTGAAGTCAGAAGAATATGGCATGTCTGGAGATAGTCCAAGAAGCTAAAGGAAAAAAAGAACTCCCTGAAGCCAAGAGGCTTCCTGAAGGATGTTCCCTAGCCCCTTCCCCGCTATTCAGTTCATAACGTGGCTCTGATTCAGTTTTGATATGTTCCAATAGATCTCTTTTCCTTCCTTTAGTTTATTTGCTCATTATTTCAAAGCAAATTACGTATGGTTTAATCATAACTAAGCACATTTCTCACCATAATCTATAATCCTTGAAGTCTCTCAAACATAAGAAATTCTAGATCTGATTGCTTTCATAGAAAGCTGATGATCAATCTACTCAGTTTATCATTTGAAAAACAAAGCAGTTATCTTTTGCCTATGAGAGAGGTTCTGTTTTAAAGGTGGCAGAAGATCTGCAGATTTTTCTAAGCTAATTAAACTTCATTGAAGTTTAGCATTCTTCCACATTTTTGTCTTTATTTACTATTTAGACATGTACTATTGCTAAGGACATGTGACTGGAATGTTTACATTACCAAAACCTCAAATCTACTTCTAAAATACTTAAAGATGACTGAATTTTAAAATGTTTTGAATAAGTCACGTAAAATCTCATCTTTCTCCCTTTGATAAGAATCACAAGATAATAGTTTTATACTTAACTTTGAACTAACTCAATATTTTGTGATTTTCTTTTCTTCCCTCTAAAATATCAAACCAGCAAGGTGCTGCCCATTGGCCCATAAAAATGAATTTCTTTAAGAAGTTGGAATTTTAAAATCACACTCTTAAACTCTTCAATATCTCTCCCTTTAGGTAATTCCAAATTGGAATGTGGAATAATGGGAAAAACTTTGCTCAGATGGACTTGAGATTTTCCTTGTTGAACTCTGTTGCTGTTGTCTATTATTTATTTAATATACAGTAGATTAATTGGTAAAGATAAATGATTCTGTTTTCCCATTTGTAAACTGAGAAAAACAGTACTTTGCTGTCAGATTGTGAGGAAAAGATCTGGTGAATAGTAAGCACTTGCTTCTTTTCTTTTCTCTTTCACTTCCTTCCTGGACTACTTAACTGAATCTGGTTTTTACTATTTTAAATTCCTAACTTTCCAAACACCAGACACAGATCTACCTCTTTTAAATAAAACAACAACTCTCCGGAGCTATACCTTTGTTTAAAATAAACAAGATGTCACAAATCCTATTAGCTCGCATTATACTGCATTATACTGACTCATCCCACATGGTTATTTTTACCATGATGTCAGTGTAAATGAGAGGAAACAATGGGGTATTTTTCTTCAAAATTTTATCATCAAAACCAGAGATCCAGAGTTAGAAGAACCTTTAAAGATGATCTACTCTTGACCCCTTATACTATTTTTGACAAGATCATGTCCAAGGAAGTTAAATTTTTTCCTCCACCTACCCAAGATTGCTCTCACTGTTCTATTTTTTATATAAGTGATTTATATTTAGATGTCTTGATATTTAGATGTCTTTATATTCAAGGCTAATATAATGTGACTTTAATTCATAGTTTTCCACTCTACAAATCTTGTTTAGAGAGCTTCCTTTCCTTGATAACTACATAAATGCCATGTAAAAGGGAAAATTGTTAATGTTATAGATTGAAAGGGTTACAAAAGTAGACTCTGTAAAGGTAACCAAAATATTGTGATCCTCCCTTACCCTGGGGGATACATTCCAAGACCTCTAGGAGGATGCCCGAAACTGTGGATGGTATTAAACCCTATATATGCTGTTTTTTCCTATACAAACATATCTCTGATAAAGCTTAATCTATAAATGAGGCATTGTAAAAGACGTAAAAATAATAAAATAGAACATTTATAACAATATACTATAATGAAGGTTATGCGGATGTGATCTTTCTCTCTAAAATACCTTGTATTTTCAACTTTTCACTTAAAGGAAACATTTTGTGCCTTCTATTTGGTATATTTGAATAGCAGCCCTAATACTCTTGGAACTTGGGGCTATTATTAAGTAAAATGTGGTTTATTTGAGCAACAACACTTAGCCCATAGCATATACAGTCTGGATAAACTGGACAAAGGGATGATTCACATTCTAGGTGGATAGTATGAGATTTTACTACAATGCTTAGAATGCTGTGCAATTTACAGCTGATGAATTGTATATTTCTGGAATTTTTCATAACCATATATAACTGAAACCATAGAAAATGAAACAGTAGATAAATGGGGACTACTATGATTAAGATTTAAATCATACAGATTGGATCATAAGTTTATATATATTAGGAATAAGTTTTTATCCATTCCTCAGTTGATGGGCATTTGGTTTGCTTCCATGATTTAGCTATTACAAATTGTGCTGTTACAAACATGGGTACATATATATCGCTGTGATATGATGTTTTCAATTCTTCTGGAAAAATACCCAGCAGGGAAATAGCTGGGTTGAATGGGACCTCTAATCCTGGTTTACTGAGGAATCTCCAGACTGATTTCCACAGTGGTTTCAGCAGTCTACACTTCACCAACAGTGGAGAAGGGTTCCTTTTTTCCCCACAGCCTCTGCAGCATTTGTTATTGGTTGATTTCTTGATGATAGCCGTTCTTTCTGAGGCGAGCAGTACAATTTGTAATAGCTGATTGGTGGAAGCAATGCAAATGCCCATCCACTAAGAAACAGCTAAAAAAGTTATAATACTTTTATATAATGGAATATTACTCAGCTATAAAGCAAGATAAACTTGGGGCTTTTATAGGTAAATGGTCACAACTAGAGACCATATGATAAGTGAAATAAATCTGACCTGCATGTTTAAACACCATATTGTCTCACTAGTGTAAGAACCCGAGGGAGTGAATGAAATCTGAGGGGTGCAATGGATACTGTGAAGGAAAAGGAAATTGCTTGGTGGGAAGAGCAGCTGGGATGAAGGAAAAGAGAAAAGAAGGGAAAATATGTATATATGTATTCACAGGATAGCTAAGATAGTTGTACTACTGATTTCTATTACTTTATGGAAAGGAACAGTTTAAGTTTAATTGTTTGAGCAATCTTTCATGCCCATATTTGTTTGTCTGAGTAACCAATTTGAAGATATCAATATGTAATACAAGCACCATTGTTAATTTCCTATCATCTTGTCTGAAATTCTATATTGCTTATATTGTTTTTGTGTTATTTTGCAAATGTCTGTGTGTCTGTTAATATGTTTTCTTCCATCTTTAAAATAAAAAAGAAATAGGCTCTTTATTAGAAATAAGTGAGACACAACATATGACATATTATCAGTTATGTCATGTAACCATGTGATCATGTAAATATGCTGATTTTTTTCTTTCAGATAAAACACTCATAATAGCTACAAAAACACTAGGAATTATGGATTCTTCAAAATAACAGCCAAATATTAGGAGAATAGTTACTCCATAGAATAGACAGATAGTGCATAAATGTATCTTACAGGTGTTAGCAAAGTAGTATCAATATCCATTTTCTTACCCTCAAAACTAAATGTGAATTCTAAAGAACATAATTTTCCTTTAGTTATCTATTATGAGAGAAGATCTATTAAAGCTAGAATAAATTAAAATAAAACAAGCTTGTCTACTTAGGCAGGTAGCATCCTTTTTATAAAATGCTTAACTTTAATTTTCTTTATGCCTAAGCCATTTTAATTGAAGGGAGGGTGTGAAAAAGTGCAACTGATGCTCAACAACAAAGTAAATAAGGCAATTAAGAAATCCCCAATTTTAATTCTCCATTTTTAATCTTCATAATTTTTTTTTTTCTGGTACCAGGAATCGAACTCACGACCTTGCGCTTGCCGGGCAGGTGCTGTGCCGCTGAGCTAAATCCCCAGCCCCCATCTTCATAATTTTTTATACTGCATGGAATTGAACATAAGGCCTTCCCATTGAGCTTTATCACCAGTCTTCTTTTATTTATTTTTCTAGACAGTTCTTGCTAAGTTGTCCAAACTGGGTTTAAACTGGCAATGTTCCTGTCTCAGGTCCTACACTACTGGGATTACACGTATGCACCACCATGCCCAGTTAATGTGAAACTATTTATCCTTACAAGTGCCTACTACTTTAAATTCTCCAGGAAAAAGAAAATGTCCAGTGCTGAAATTCATATATTCCCACATTTGGAGGCTGCTCTCCACATACTAGCTGTTTGCTGATAGACGGGGACTTTGATAAAACTTGTATCTCTTACCAGCCCTTCACTTGGTTTGATATTTGCCAGCTGAATAACTTCCAGGTGAGCAGACTGTGAAACCAGAGGATCTGATGACAAGGATATGATGTGGTCACAGACTCCAGAAAGAGTTTTACACTGAAAGAAAAAACAGAAAAAATCGTTATGGTACACACATTATAAATTAATGCATGAATCATGTTTTGATATGTTTTTAATGAGGAAAAAAATCAAAGAACAGTAGCATATAGACTGCCTTTCACTGTAACTTTTTTAATGAGAAAAAAATAAAAGAAAGAATAGAAGAAAGTTAACCGGCACTTTATTTTGTAAAATCTGTATGAAAAGGTATTCAGGTGAAATAGAATGCATCTGATAAGCATGACACGTTTATACTGTAAATTACAAATAAATTCCAATTATGTGTAAGACCTATACATAATATTCAAGAAAAGTATGTTTATTATTTCTGTTCTTTGATTCATCACACTTAAATAACTGTTTCCTAACAATCTTTATAATCTGAGAACATCTTGATAACAATCATCAATTCAAATTGAACTATATAGTGTCAGAAATCTTGATGTCTTTTATTTCATATTTGTAAAAGTTTTTGTAAAAACATTGGAGAGGTATATTATAATGTACTAGAGACAATACCACCGATACATCTCTGAGGCATATTCACCCACGTCAGTGAACAGTGTGATAGGAAGACCAACCACTGGAATACAATATGAAAGTGATAGCCAACTGGTAGGATCTGGAGATAAGACTAGTTTGAATAAGAAATGAGTTGATGTTCCACTCTGGTGGTCCTTGCAGCTCAAGTTTGGAGAGTGCACTACTCTGTGAAAAGTACGAAACTCTCCAAGGAAGAAGCTAGTTAGTTATCATAGACACCACTGCCCTCTGTAGCATCCTGGCCATACAGTTTTCCCATGGGAATGTGGGGCTTAGAGTCTGAAATATTCATCCAAAAATCCTCCCAGGCAGGAATTGGGTTCTGCAAGGAGAGTGATTCTGAAAGAGAGACCCAGAGGGTCCAGCAGTGGAGCCAGAAAGGCCAAATGCTGGGGACAGAAAGAGACAGGAAGGACAGCCTGGGCACAGAGGAATTCAGAGATGGACAGTGAATCAGTAAGCTCTGATGAGTAGAGCTAGAAACACTAAGTGCTTGGGCTGAAAGAGAGAGAAGGCACAGTGCTGAGCGGGACAGGAACTGGAGTTAGGAGACTCAGTTGGGGCCAACAGAGCTACAAGTGGTAAGCGCTGGGGTTGAGCGAGTAAGACAGAATGAATTACCCTGCCTCCAGCTAGTGTCCCCTAGCACCAGGCACAGCATGAGCTGCAGCCTAGAGAGAGGACTGTGGCAGGTGGAACCCCCACCTTCTAAGGTTGCTAGAGGGGACCTGCACCTGTGCCCTTCCTGACCCTAGATATCACTGGAATTTCAGGCTAGAGAGAGTCTGAACTAGCAGCAACACAGCTGGGAGCTAGAGACAAGACAGGTGAGAGTTAACTGCAGGGATAGCTCCAAGAGCATGACTTATGGGTCTGGGGATGAGACCTGCAGGAAGAAGATGCATGCATGCCCCACCAGCCACAGCCTGAGAAAAGCAGAGGCTCATGAATATGGTGATCTAAACACAGCAGTAGTGCCAAGCTGACCCTAAACGAAACAGCAGTATAGTTATCCTCTTCATTTCCATCAGTAATTTGGTACAGCTTATTAGGATTGGTCTTCGTATATATGAACATATGTGAGAAAAGTGTAAATTAGTTTTCTGTTCTGAAGTGTTCTATGTATACTGTTAAATATTCCCACATCAATGGCCACTTTACACAGATACATCTGTTAATTCAACAGTAGGATATGATCGTCCTATCTCTACTTTCACCCTCATTTATATTCCTGTCCCTTCCCTCCTTGTATTACCATCCTCCACATACTTTCTTTGGTCTCTTGGTCCTTCTCCATTTAGTGATGTCATTTTATTAGTATATGTTTGTGATACATAATAATTACATTTCTTTGGGGGAATCAGAACATATTACATCTTTATCATTTTTATTCCCCTTTCCCACTTATATTTCTCTTTCCCCTTCCCCAGATCTCTGATCCATCTCCAAAAACTTTATCTCTCTCTTTCCTACCATCTCTCCTTTGATTTGCTCTACTTATATTCTGGGTATATGATATAAGAGAAACCATGTGATATTCAACCTGCATTTGACTTATTTTACTTAACATTATACAATACTCTCAAGATGCATTTTCTTACAAATAAAAATCTGTAAAATTTATCATTCATATCATTCATTTTCTGATGTGAATTGTGCTGCTATAAGCATGAATATGCACTTAACACTATAATATGATGTCTTTAACTCTTTTGAGAAGATACACAGTAGAGGTATAAGAGAGTCAAATGGAATTTCTAATTTTAGTCTTTTGAAGAGTTTCAATATGGATTTCCAGAGTGGTGATATTACTTTACAGTGTTTCCAACAATGTAGAAGAAGGGTACCTTTTCCTCCCACATCCTAGTCAGCATTTGCCAATTTTCTGAGTCCCTGATGATAGTCATTCTCACCGGAGTAAGATGGAGTTTTGATCTGCATTTCTCCAGTGGCCAAACATGGTGAACATTTTTTCATGTATTTATTGGCTATTTGTACTTCTTTTTAGAAGTGTCTATTCATTTAAATTGCCCATTTTTTGATTGGGTCTTTTCTTTTGGGGGGGCTAAATATTTTGAGTTCTTTACATATTCTAGATATTAGTCCTCTGTCCAAGGAATAGCTGGCAAAATTTTCCCCATTCTGCAGGTTGCCTATACACCCTGATAATAGTTTCTTTGGTGTGCAGAAGCTTTGTAATATGATATGTCATTTGTTGATTCTTGTTATTGTTTCTTATGCACTTAGGCTCCCGCTTAGAATAAGTCCTTGCCTATACCTATGTCTTCAACAGTTTTATCTGTTTTGACTTTTAGCATATTCAGTATGTCTGTATTTGTATTTAGGTCTTTGATTCATTTTGTTTTTAGTACAGGGCAAGAGATAAGGGTCTACATTCATTTTTTTTGCACATAGGTAACCAAATGTTTAACCATTTGTTAAACATTTGCTTTTCTCTAGCATTTGTTTTTAGCCTATTTACTAAAATTCAGAGGCTAAAGGTTTATAGCGCTCTCCATATCTATTTTTTATGCTAGTAGCATGTTGTTTATCACTGGAGTTTTGCTGTACAACTTGAAATGTAGGACTGTAATGCATCTTGCTTTTTGCTCTTTTTGCTCAGGATTGCTTTGGCTATTTTGGGCCTCTTCTAGTTCTCTATAAATTTTAGTATTTTTTCTAATTGTATGAAAAGTGTTGTTGGTACTTAGTTTGAAATTGCATTAAATCTGTGTATCATTATTAGTAATATGACCAATTTGACAATGTCAATTCTGCCTATACAGGAATAGGGGATGCCATTCGAATGTCCTCTTCAATCTCCTTTTTTAGAGTAACTTTTTGTTACAGAGGTCTTTGTTTCCTTGTCCAGGTTAATTTCTAGGTATTTAATTTTTTTAAGGTTACTGTGAATGGGGTTGCTTTCTTCATTTATCAATGGTATTATTGATGGACAGGAATGCTACAGATTTTTGTTTGTTCATTTTCTATCTTGACATTTTTGCTGAATTTATTAGTTCTTGGAATTTTTTGGTGTTCTTTTGGGGGGGTTTCTATGTAAAATATCATGCCATCTGCAAATAAGGAGAGTTTGCTTTCTTTCTTATTCATATTCCTTTTGTTTCTTTCTCATGCTGATTGCTCTTTGTAAAATTTCATGTACTATATTGAGCAGGAGCAGAAAGAGTGGACACACTTGTCTTGTTCCTGTTTTCAGAGGAAATGCTTTTAGCTTTTCCCCATTTTGTATGATACTGGCAGTAGATTTGTCATAAAAGAGTTTTATCCATCTGAAATAAATTTTTTTACCTATTTTAATCAGGGACTATTTACATCATGAATGGATGGTAGACTTTGTCTAAGTCTTTTCCTGAATCATCTCAAATGATGATCCAGTTTTTACCTTTGCTTTTGTTTATGTGGTGTATTACATTTATTGATTTATGTATGTTGTACCACTCTTGCAGCTCTGAGATGAAGCTGGTTTGGTCATACTATATGGTATTTTTAATGATCAGATACTTTCTTCTTGAAAGTATCTTGTTTTGAGAAATTCTGTATCTATGTTCATTAAGAAAAATGAAACACCATTTTCTTCTCTTCTCTTTTTCATGGAGTCCTTATTGAGATCTGGTATTAGGACAATGATGGCTTCATAAAATGAGTTAGGTCATGTTCCTTTCCTCCTTTCAATTTCATGCAGTAGTTTGAAGAGTAATGGTATTAGTTCTCTAAAGCTGTGGTAAAATTCAGCAGTGAATTCACTAGGTCAGATGAGTCCATAGATTTATTTCTTTGCTTGTTTTTTGTCTTTTTTTTGAGACAGGGTCTCGCTATGCAATTCAGGCTGGCCTTGAGCTCACTTTGTAGCCCAGGCTGGTCTTGGACTCACAACGATCCTCCTACCTCAGCCTCCTTAGTGCTGGGATTACAGGCGTGCGCCACCACACTGAGCTCAAGTCTACAAATCTATTTCTTCTAGATTCTCCAAATTATTGGAATAGAAGTTTTGAAATAATTTTTTATAATTTTCTGGGTATTAGCATTATCTGTTGTGATTATACTTTCTTCATATCAATTGCAATGATGTGTGTCTTTTCTTTCCTTTTTTGATAAGTTTGGCTAAGGGTTGATCTTATCCTTTCAAAGGACTCTGATACACTGATCCATTTTTAGTCTCAATTTCAATGATTTCTGCTCTGATCTTCACAAGTTTTTTCCTTGTAAGTTTTGGACTGCATTGTTCTTGTTTATCGAGGTCCTTAAACTGCACCACTAGGTTATTTATTTGGGATTGGTCTATTTTTGTAATGTCCACATTTAGAACCAACTTTAGTCATAGAACTGCTTTTATTGTGTCCCATACGTTTTGATATGTTGTGTTGTCATTGTCATTTGATTCTAAGAACTTTGTAAATTCTTCCTTGATTTCTTCTGTGATCCACTGATTAATC